CATTATCTACAGTTAGGGGTAAATCTAACTCCACAGAACTCAAAACTAAATTCAAACAAATTTACTGTAATAAAGTATGGTTGCCAGTTGTAATTAAAACATAAGAAAATAAACTACGTACTAAATGTAGCATCAACAAATACAACAATATACTAGTATACTAATTAAACGTTTCATTACGTTTTTCCTGATATTGACTAGATGACGTCAGGTGTTTTGAGGAATGGGAACATTCTAATCCTTATGTAGCAACTGACGTATATCATTCTGCGCCATAATAAACTCCATGGTTGGAAAGAGTGGGATATTGCTGAAAGTTTTTTGATAAATTTATAGTGACATTTCATGATTCTGTTTTTCAACCATGAATTGTATATGTTTTATGAAACCATACCCCAATACTATATCTCTCTAAGTATCACCGTTTGACAACTATTTACTGTAGCTTATTGGAAAATCGTCCTAATGCCGTTGGCTATGATAATCATGTAAATATTGAAGTTTCTATATTTAAATTCTCGAATACAGCGTGTCTGTTTGATTCGACATTCAGTCAGTCAAAACAAATTGTCATAAAAATACCAAAATATTCCCAGTATGATACATGTAGTCGATTTGAATTATTCTTGTTCACGCACGCCGGCAAAACAAGGGAGTTGCTATTCAATCATGGCGTCACGATTGCCAGCAAAAGCCAGGCCACCGCGCCAGTCGATGTTTTGCTAACGTACATAATCAGTCAAGATTTCTAGTAATGTTAAAGGACTCTAGTCGTCGCGCCACGCATGCGCGAGATATATGGGTCTCACATAAACAAAGATGGCGACTTTGACAGTACAAACTGAGACGGTACCAAGCTCTAATTAGGTATTTTTTAGGTGACTTGAAGGTATCGACTCACCGGCGGTAATCAGTGCAAGTTGCACCCAGGTCAAACATCATACTTGTGATTTCCATTAGATGAGCGCATTGGATTGTGGGAAAATCAATTATTATGAACACAGATGTCGCACATGCGTTACGCGACGACTATCGCCCTTTAAATGTAAAATACGTTCATATAAGTCGTTATAACAATTCACGATTAATTATTTATTTAATTTTTTGTTTTGCAAAAAAACCTGACTAAAGTTTGTTTAGATTACTGTATTTCATAACGATTTTTCAAAACCAGCACATAAAAATTACGTACCTATTGTACGCTAATATAATGAGGATTTGGTAATTTGGCACTCGACCGTCAGCTACAATGCCACAAGTGGAAGCGCGCGTAACTCATCGGTGGCGGCGCTGTTAAATATTTTTTTTACAACTCTCATGTGCGCCGCTGCTGATAACTTCCGGCTTTCTCAATTTATTCAATACGAGTCAAATTGGTAAGGAAATTAAATATAGATATAATGGCGCAGTATCTAGTTTGTGTGTATATTTAATATGCATATTATTCTACATGTATTAATTATCATTTTACTAATAGCTAGTTACCCTTGGAACCCGTGGCGTGTATCTTCGCTAGCCAAGGTATAAGTTCATTCGGCCAATAGGTCGAAGACACGGGACCTTGCGATCATAATTAGGACGATGGTGGCGGCGTGTAACTAGTACGTATACCCCTACATTACATTACATTATTCCATCAACCTTTCAAAGCAGAATGTATCATTGATCCAACACTTTTTCGTAACGACCTTGGTCACACAGCAGCGATTGTTGAAGTTCGTGGATTTTACAGCAAACATTCGATATAGAGCCCAGATTAATGAATTCAAAAACCGAGATTTTATTCGGAATATTGACGTAAAAAAATGGGGCTCACCAGCCTAATTAACGAGAAAATGATGGTTGTATTTTAGTGGATGGTGGCCATTTTGCCAGTACTATGAGTGCATTAAGCATAGGTTTCTATGGCAGAGATATTATGCCATATCTCAAATTGTAGGCTGGTGACATAGGCTGAAAAAATATATACTAGTATTATGAATGATGGGGTACTTTTTGTTGTCCTCAATTATTTCAAAAATCTGGGTTTTATAAAGTGCCAAAAAACACAATTTGTATTTAATATTGTACTATATGGTATTGTTCTGAAAATAACCATTTTTGAAAAATATTAGGTAAGGTTTCTCAAAATACGTCACTAACACACAAACGAATGCTATTTTATGGTGCCATGAAACAATAGCTTCATGATTTTACATAATAAACCAGTGATCATTGTCATGCGATGTATGACCAACTTTCTCAAAAATTATGAGTAGGCTTCTACGTTAAAGCGGGGGAGTCGTCACCCGCGTGGCCATAGCGTGTCATTGTTTACAAACAAGCATCTACCCACTAGCCTTTACGTTTTTAGCGTGTGTTGTTATCGTTGCTTGGGACTCGCTTGCGCCGGTGACGACCCTCCCTATTTTAAAACACAGAAAATCACACACAGACGCACAACCTTTGAAAGAACGAAACTGATATACCACAAATTAATTATTGACCGCATTTGATAAGTCACTAACAATCGGGCCGTATCCGAATTTTCTACCAGTGACCGACCATGTCCAGAGATCGAAGACTCGGTCTCACGTACAAACGGACGTTTCCCTTAAGTGAATGGAACGGTCCAAGTCATTTCCGGGGATATGGCGGAGGCGAGTTGATTACACGTTGAAGTTGCGACGTTATGTGTACGAAATTCACATACACAACCCGACTAGCAGTCTGTGATTTGACGATCAACTCATGCTGAAATAGGTAAGTACATTTGTCACATTTAATTCACAATGATGTTTATTTCCATGACTAAGTATACAGACGAGAGTGTGCATTACTCTTCGGTTGGATATTTCATTGATTCTTATCTTTTACTTGCATTTCTTGGAGTTAGAGTTCAACAGTGGCCGTGACGATTGCGGTTTTAACTCGCGATAGAGAGTTTATGGCTCAAACTCAAGTTGGATTCAGTCTGTCATATGGTATGTCACAGTCAACATCATCAAAGAATGCCAAATAGTACTGAAGGCAGATTTTCTTTACTAAAATATTCTCTCGCCATCAACAATATGATTCAACGTAATGTATGTTGTAATGTAATGTAATGAAAGTGTAATTTGAGGAACAATTTTTATTGACTTGTCAGTATTATGATACTGAAGTAAACTCAAAATTAAAGACAGTAAAATAAAGACATTATTATGAATTTAACTGACTATACATGTATATGTACAACAGAGAGGCTCTCAAAATAATAATATTAATAATTTATTTTTATATTATTTTTAATGCATTGTGTATATATTGTAGCAATGTAGCACTCTCCCATTCTCTAGACCAAAGACATTAACTTGGTGGTAACAATAATAAACATGCTTTACATACAAATTTAAATAAATGCATGCAGCCAAGGGTAATTGAATTCAGTGTCAATGTAATGAATACATGTATGTACATGTGGTTTTGTTTAGATACATTGTATCTACATATTCAGTTCTGTCATAGAAGTGACTTAATGCATAATTCAACATTAACTCTTTTCATACAATTTCATTCAATCCAGTTTTAGACTTCTACATGTACTTGTATTGCCTTGTAACCATGAGAAACCTGATGAGCTAGTCGTGCAATAATTTTTCCGTATCATGCCCAGTTTGACCATAATTGGACAAACATGTTCCCTTTATAGATTTAGATTGGTGTTCACTTCTAACTAGTTTCAGCCATTTATGAGTACATAGCTTTGCTGCAGATGATTTTGTTGTTGTGTTGTGGGGCTTGCTTTTATAAAAAAGATGATCACATTAGCTACAACTGGCTGTCGAACACAGGTAGATATTTATGGCTGAAATTTTCGAATTACACGTTCTCATCAGGATTCAACAAATTTGTGAGTGTGATCGAATGTTAGATGGTTTGTGTGTCTTGTTGGCATTGTTACGTCAGTCACAGGAATATCACTCAATACTGTAAAAGTTTTAATAAATGTTAGAAATAAGATTAATAACGGAAATAAATGTAACACCAGCAGCCCAAAACAATTGCATTTACTTTTACAGGCTTCATGCAAACCTTAGCTGTTTGTCAGCTCGGTGGTGTTACCGCTATTATGACCTTGGTCCC